CTTTGTTCATCAGTTAACAGGTTGGGTTTTGAGCAGCAGTTGTGTGCTGGGCCTGGCACCTCTGCGCTGTGGAGTGGACCAAGGAGATAGAAAACGTGATCTGTGCTCTCCTGGGGCTCATACACATTTTAGAGAGTACTGAAAGTAGGTGACAGCCGGCTAAGTCCTGAGCAGTTCCCAGGGGAGGCCCTGGGTGGGGATCAAGTCCTCAGGAAGACCTCGAGGAAGGCTTCAGTCTGTGGTCTGGAAAGAGAAGGGGTTGGAGACAAGGAGGAGGGCAGGCCGTGGTCCCCGAGTGGGCAGACTGCATGTGGGTCGAGCGGGAGGAGCTTGACACTGACCTGATGCATGCCCCGTGACGCGTGGGTTTGCCATCGGCAAGGCTCCTCTTCCCGCAGAGGACATTTCTGTGCTCTCGCCCTCCCTCAACAGTTAGCTACACGATCTCTCATGTGGGTCTCCTTCGAGATGCTCTAAAACACTGCAGGTTACAAGCCTCGTTTTCCCCTGTAAGGATTTATTTTAGCTGACATCCGGGTAAGTTCTTCACTGTCTATGTGGAGGAATGGCTGTGTATGCATTTTGTTGTAAACTGTGCGGCCTTTTGCCCCGTCACGTTATGTCAGACTCGCTCTATAATCTATGATGGGATGGCAGGCTTTGCGGTGTAATTTTTAAGCCGTCGTGAATGGTTCCAGTTACTTAGGGAGTCTACTAAACTTCAGATTCCGTTTTTACGATCCATAAATAATTTAATTGGTGGCTTTTATAGTGGTCTCTTCATGGCGGCCGGACATTTCTGCCACCTGCTCACAGGTGTCATATAGAGCGGTGCTGCTAGCAGCCATCTTGTTTCCGTTTCCCAGAGCTCTTAGCATCTGGCCCTTCACACATGTGCGCATTCTTAGATGAGGGTATGGTGCTGGAGGGCCGCCTCGTTTCACACAGTAATCAAGGCCTTCCTGTGCCAGGCCCCATTCGGGGTGTTGCAGCGGATCATGGAGGCCCTGCCCTCCCACAGTTTGCATGCCCACGGTGAGAAGGGTGTCTCAGATGAATGAGTAGGTGCACAGTGCAGACTCCGCCAGTGACTGACAGCTGATGCTGTTGCAGGGAACAGACAGGAGAGGTGCAGGAGCGCTTGCCCCTGCCTAGGTCAAGGCAGCAGAGGAAATACCATCTTTCGAAGAGCATCCCAGGGACTTGATGTTCACATGAGGTGGGCTGGCCACAGTCAGGAAAGTGCAAATCTCTAAACAGGCTTTCCAGAAAGGTGGGGGTGTGGGCCAGGCCATATTCTCAGATTGGGGTGGCCACTCCAGGTTCAAGGTAGTTTGGGGACACTAAAAGTCAATGGATGTGGAGCTGGGTGGTGGTGGCGCACGCCTTTAATCCCAGCACTTGGAAGGCAGAGACAGGTGGATTTCTGTGAGTTCGAGGCCAGCCTGGTCTACCAAGTGAGTTCCAGGACGGGCTCCAAAGCTACACAGAGAAACCCTGTCTCGAAAAACCAGAAAAAAAAAAGTGAATGGAAGTGTATATGTGTGTATTCATCTGCTAATGTTTCCCTTCACTCCTGTCCTTTTGCAGCTGGGCAGTGATGAGAAAGTTCTAGAGAGCTGCTTGAGTCTGGGTGGCCACCGGGCCCCTGTGGTCACAGTGGACTGGAGTACTGCCATGGACTGTGGGACGTGCCTCACAGCCTCCATGGATGGCAAGATCAAGCTGACTACCCTCCTAGCCCACAAGCTCTGATGTCCTGCCTGGAGCGACACACTGGAGACAGGATTGTCCCCGGTGGGAGAGAGATGAGACAGAACGGGACGGTGCCTCTGGCTCCACACTGTCAGCGCTGTGGATCTTCAGGGAAAGACTGCCGAGGGGCCAGCCATCCAGCTGCAGCTGCTGGAGGAGTCTACGGAGCAGGCTGCGTGTGCTTCCTAGAGACTTGAATCGTGGCTGGAGCAGGGCATGCTCCAGAGCACAGGATGAATGACGAGGAAGGAGCCATAGTGGTGCCCGCCATGTTCACGGTCCAAGAGGAACTGACAGTATTTTGTACATAACTGCTTTTTTTTTTTTTTAAGGAAAAAAAATGAGAGAGAGAGAGAGATAATGCTCTTGCAGTCACTTGGTGTCTCTTTCTAGAATGTCTGAGTCACCTGGGCCTAGTGATAGCCATGGCTTCCTGCCTTGGTTCTTGTACCTCAGCTCTCACCCGCCTCCGCTGCCGTGTTGCTGGCGGAACCACATTAGGTTCCCTGTGGCTTTGTCAGAGTTGAGATGTGGACTACAATACCATCTTATGGGCTCAGGCCAAGATCAGTGTGTCTTCTGCTGAACTGGAAAGCTGTTGCCTTTGGTTAAGAGGGTTCTTTAGACAAGAGCGGGGCCTGAGGTCTGGGCCTCCAGCTCCCTCTCCCTCAGGGTCTTCTGGTCCCACGCTCTCATGTGGTGGCTCTCTCATTCGTCCAGCTTGAGGTCTCTGAGCTTGAATAATACCAGCTGCCTGCACCCTCTGCCTGGCTTCGCCGATCCTGGACCAGCTCTATCTGTACGCCTGCCCTCTGTCCCCTCATTTGGGAGGACCGTGAAGAGGCAGGTTCTTGCAGAGTGGGGAGGAACAAAAGTCCCTCTGTAGTCAGCCCTACATCCTCCTGCTGAGGCCAGCCTCGCGAAGGAGCCGCGGGAGGGTCAGTGAGCCCGGGCCTGGGACTCCCACACGTGGCAGGGGTGACCTTGTTCCCTACCTAGGGAATGCCAGTCCCATGAACAGTGACTGTTTGGGCTCCAGGCTAGTCGTGGGCTGTGAGGTAGAGTGGGGTAACTCCCAGGTGCCTACATTGGGAAAAGCAGCAGTATACTGTGGCCTTGGCTCCCTTCTGGGGCTGAAGGAAGAGTAGAAAGCGATATATAGCAGGACCAGAGTAGTGGTTACCTATTTATTATTGGTGTGGGGGGGGGGGCGGGGGCGGGGGATATGCCATAGCAGAGGTCAGAAGATGACTTGGTAGACTCGATTCTCTCCATCCACCTTTATGTGGGTTTAGGGGATCAAACTCAGGTGGCCAGGCTGCATGGCCAGGGGCTTTACCTGCTGAGCTAGCTCATAGTTATCTCCTCTTACCCATTTTCACACGGTCATGAATAGATTAATTCCCTGCTATTTCTCCATTTGGGCTTGGACACAGCCTCATCTATTTGACCTAGATTCACGGTCCTGGGTTTCATTTGAGTCAAGAGCCCATGTTTAACTTTTCCTCCCAAAGTTTTTCTGTCTTAGGATATGTTCTTTCCTCTAGGCATCCCCCACAGCTTGCTGAAGCGATTTTAAGGCTCAGAGACAGAGAAACACCCCAAAATCGGTCCCTCCCTCCCTTACCCCTCCCAGGAAGAGCACTCATTCTCAAAGCATTTGGAATGTACTTTTTCCTTCAAAGCGCCTTTTTTTTGGGAATCCTTAGGAGCCTTAGTAAGTAAGGCTCCCTCCTCTCTGTCTTGGGTGAAGGCGGCGTGAAGCAACAACCACGGAGGCAGGCTACACCACAGACTCTGAACCACTCTTCCAAGGCTTGAGGACCTGGCCCGCCAGGTGCAAATCCATATTTCCCATCCATGTGCTCAGGGACCTATTTCTGCTCAGCCCTAAGCCCAGTCCCCTTGGTGTTCAAATGCCCAGGAGCTCGGCATGAGGTCTGGAAGTACAGTAATAAATACATTGCAGGCTGACTAAATGAAGCTAACTGACATTTGTTACTATATCCAATAACCACGTACAGTTTATCTTTCATTTTAAAAATAATAAAAACCCATGTTGACTCCAGTACAGGCAAATCTAGCTTGGTTCCTTACTCCTTCCTGCAACAGGCCCTGTGTGCAGACACACAGGTTCCTGGTCTTAAGCCTTATTTGCTAGGTGGCCATGGAGAAGTTTTAAGAAATGTGCAGGCTTGGGGAGTTATGCTAAGGATCAAAGGAAACATGCCCTTCCACCCAGCCCGTTAGACTTGGTTGCCTCACAACCGGTGAGGTTGAGGACTCTACAGTCAGTGAATGATACTTTCAAGACAGCCAGGTGCTGCCCTCCCAGAAAGGCTGAGGTCTAACCCCGTTCAAGAGCAGCTAAGCCGACCTTACCATTGGTTTATGTCATCTAAGAGACTTTAGATTTCCTGACCGGGGCTGTTGGTTTAGCATTGAAGATTAGCATTCTAGAAGGCCCTGGAGAAAACAAAGGCTTCACAGGGGCTCCGTGGGTTCCCCAATCCAGAAATTGTAGTTCTAGCACCGGACAGAAACTGCTGTGTGATTAGCCAATTTGCTGTAAATCCAATATAGTTAGTCTTGATTTCTCCGTTTGGGGGAGACAATCAGATCTGAGCTTCCGCGTGCCAGGGAAGGCCCTCCCCTGTGACGGCCTGCTCTGGTGTTTTCAGTCGTTGTCGCCAGGGCTCCTCTCCTGGTCACCTCAGGCTGCCTTAAATCATGCGTGAGTTTAGCTGAAAACCCCCGGGGAAACCTAGCTTGGTGGCGCCTCCCGCCCTTCTGCAGGGGGCACCCTGGGCCGCCAACCTGAATGTTAAACGTTAGTAAACGGGAGTTTGGTTTCTCTCTGAACTGTCAGGCACCTCGTCTCCTGTCTCCTGGCACGTGGTGAACTTGGTTTCCTCTTGGGGATCCTGGGGCAGGACTGTCAAAACCAGAAGCCCTTTCCTTCCCCTAGTCCCCAACTCTGGGCACTTTGACTTTCTAATAGCCAGCCAGCAGCGGCTCCTCAGCCACAGCAGCGGACAGACCCCGGGGCCTGTGCATGTGGCTTGCGGTCTGCAGGGGGCACCCGGGGACCTCCGCGCCAGCCAGCGGCCGGGTCGGGAGCGCGCGGGGCCGGGAGCGCGCAGGGGCCGGAAGGGGCGGGCGGCGGGATGCGTGAGGGCTCCGTAGTTCTGAATCCCTTCCCGGAACCGGCCGAGATCTCTGCTGTGCCGCCCTGCCCTGTTAGTCGCCTGTCCGGTCCTGTCCCCGGGTCCCCGCTCTGCGCCCTCTGCGGGTGGGAGGGAGTGGCGTGGCCAGCTCCCGGCTAGTGCCCCAGGCCCCGCGTGCGTTTTCTGGGTGAGATTTTTCCAGGGACCCCCAGGCCCGGCCCCGACAGCACGGAGCTCCAGAAACCTTGCGGTCGGTGGGAGCTGGCTGCCGGCTCGGTGGTTGATGCCCGGCTTTCTGCGACTTCATGCACGTTAACTGTAAATTGCGTCTGTTTCTCGTCTGTAAAATGGACGTAATGATACATGTATTGCCGCGTCTGATACATTTCTGTATATTGTCACCGGCTGGTGTCCCTCTTATCAACTCCTGTGACTGGACAAGTTAGGTTGATGCCCTGCTAGTTTTTTTTTCTTTCTTTCTTTCTTCTTCTTCTTCTTTTTTTTTTTTTTAAATGGAGCTGTAAACAGTTATTCTGGATGAACCAAAATTATCAAGTGGTGTATGTTGGCCGAGGGGATGGGGCACTGGCTAATGAAATCTGTGAATCAGAAGGCCTCACGGTTCTAGTAAATCACTGCAGAAGTCTGTCGTCAGGGATGATTGTTTGGGGTGCAAAGGAAAGGGAGACCCGAGTTTCCTTCCTTCCTTCCTCCTCGGGTGCAGAGGTGACAGGAAAGCATTTCTTGTTGCACCATCTACCTGTGTGGGTCACAGAGCAATGGAGGGGTCACAGAACTTTGCAGGCCCCATAGTCCTACCCGCTGCTATCCCTCCATTTGACACAACACAGATGACTTGGCCGTCTGGGCTCTGCTCACCTCTAGCATGCCCCGCACTGACCAGTAATTGTTGCTGGTAACTGAAAGAGCTTTGACTTAGTAGAATATACTGACTCGCCCCCTCCTTGTAGGCATCAAAGATCGGCGACCATTGGGGACAGATAAGCCTGGTGTGACAAGAGAAAGTGACTTTCGGTGCTGCACCAGAGAAGCAAGTCACTGAGCGTGGGAAACTATGGCCATGGAAACCCTAAAATCTGAGAACAAGAAAAGGGTCCTTCCCTCATGGATGACAGCCCCTGCGGATGAGAGGAGAGTGTTGTCATCGAGGACACCCAAAAGGAAGAGGACAGCGGCTGTGCACGCTGGGGCTGCAACAAGGTGGGAAAACCTGGGGTCAGGGTGCTTCTCGGTGGGTGTCCTGGCCTGTCCTGTGGGCAGGGCAGTGAGGTGGTGGCATCCTCCCAGCAGCGTCTGAGGTCTCAGCCCACGGGGCTGGTGGGGTCCTGCCGTCCATAGCAGCCGTGCCCTGAGGAGCCGGTCGTCCAAAGTGCTAGTCTAGTCCCTTCATTTGTGACAAAACTTCTAAGAAGGCGAGATGAGTGGATCTGAACTTTGGTCGCCTGAGTGGGGTCTGCATTTCCTGTGGACAGTCAAGAAATCAGAAGTTGTGGGTGTGAGTTAGGTGAACGTTGGTGAGTGGGGGTGGGAGAATTTTAGGTCGCCATTATCACGTGGGAGGGGAGAGCCTTGCCACTGTCTCAGAAGGGGCGCTAGGCTTCCAGCTGCCTCTTCCTGGCCACCCGCACCCTTTGTAGTTCCCGCAGCCTTTGTCTGGATGTAGTCTCACCTTCAGGTACAGACTGGGCCCTGGCCTGATGGCTACATTTGCTGGGTCCATTGTTTGCTTGATTTTGAGACAGGGTCTGTGTAGCCTTGGCTAGCCTGGAACTCACTCTGTAGACCAGGCTGGCCTTGAACTCACAGAGATCCACCTGCCTCTGCCTCCCAAGTGCTGGGAATAGTGTGTGCCACAAGTCCTGGCTGTCCACTGTGTGTTTCGAGGAGTGACCGTCATCCCGTTCCCAGGTCCTTGTGAGGGAGTCCATGGAGGGTGGGTAGCCCTGTGCTCTGTCCCTGGGCCACCAGGATGAGGAAATTCTTCAGGGAAGCTTTATCTCCCCTCCTCCCCCCTGCCCATGGAGGACGTTTCTATTTTCTTCCTCCTGTGAGTCCCTCTGTTCTCAGCTGTGGCTTTGTGTCTTTATTTCAGGGCCCCAGCCACCAAGACTGTGTACTGCATGAACGAAGCCGAAATGGTAGATGTGGCTCTGGAGATCCTGATTGAGGTAACATCAACCCTGTGTCTTCTGTGACTGGAGACTATTCATGGGTTGAAACTAGCATAGGTCCTGGTAACAGAGGCGCTCTTAGGCTGCCTCAGGATCCCACCTCTTCCTCTTGCTGGCTCTTCTCAGCTACTTCTGTGTGTCCCTTTGAGACTAGCTGTACGGGCAGGGTGTGGGTAGCCCCTGGCACACAGGTGAGGGGCACACACTGTTCACTTGGGGAGGGAGGGTACCAGTTGAGTAAGAGGGCTCCTTACCAGCTCTCCTCTCAGCAGAAGGCTGTGGAAGTTTCCTCCTGGCTTCCCGAAGGAGCGAGAGCGGCACTGTGTGACGGTGCAGGGTTCTTGTTTTCCACATGCTTTAAAGCAGTGGTGCATCATCTCTTCGGGGCTCATGGTAACCCAGGGCTGCAGTGATTCGGGATACTGCTGTCCCCAAGAAACCGGAGCTGTGCCGCCAGCTAGCGGTAGTTCGGCCCACAGCAGGTTTTGTGACTGGGCTCCTGGTTTTCTCTTGCCTCTCCAGACATGTTTTTCAGTTGGGTCTTGTTCCCTTTTACTCAGCTCTTCCTCATACCTAGGCCTGCATCTTTCCCCAGTGGGTCCTGAGTGAGGTGTGGGGAGCAGTGGGGTGAAGGAAGGGTGGGTGCCCGCGAGGCGGGAGCGCGGCCGGGCCTGGTCCTCAGAGTTTGTCCCCATCACTGTCAGACAGACGTGCGTGCATCAGGGAAACGAGCTGTTGTGTTGAGCCTGCCATTTCTTACTCTGCAGGGCCGAAAACAGGAAAAGCCGTCTCTGGTGGCCGCTGATAAGCTGCAGCTCTCCCCTCCCTGCTCAGCGGCGTCTCCTCACACCAGTTCCCCTGGGAGCAGCAGTGAGGAAGAGGGCAGTGGGAACAGCTCGCCTGCTCTAGGCCTCAGCCCTTCCCAGGGGCCAGAAGCCGCCGACTCTCCCTGTAGCAGAAGCCCCGAGGAGGAAAAGGAGGAGGAAGATGTGTTAAAGTATGTCAGAGAGATATTTTTCAGTTGATGCGAACTGTTCACTGGACTTTGTGCTGAGAGCAGTGGGGTCTGCTGAGAACTGCGGCCACTACCCACCCCTGGCACCCTGGAGAACCAGACCTTGCTTCCAACTTCCAGTCCCGGGGGGCTTTCATTTTGGAGGGCCTTTCTGAATGGGGGGAGGTATTGCAGGATGCAGACCCGCACCCCATTAGTGTCATCCTGCACTGCCCTCTAGCTCAGAGGGTCTGGCATCCCAGCCCTGTGTTTTATTCAAGTACCAGCAAAAATGAGGTCATGGGCCTCATGGAAGCAAAGAAAAATATAGCTGCTGAGAACACTGGGATTCCAGATAGGCAGCCAGATCTCGCCCTGAGGAGGAGGTCTATGAACAGTCTCCATCATGACACAGTCCAGCCGTCGGCTTCCACCCCTCTAAGGGAAAAGGCTGGCAGCTGCCCACAGTTCCCTGCCAGGCTAGCAGCAGGGGGCCCTCTCCACCCCGTCACCTCTCTTTCACCTGGGGCCTCCACCTTGGTCCCTGTGCAGCTCTAAGGGAGAATGGGACAGAAAACACTGAGGACAAAAGATCACGCCAGAGTCCGTGTTTCTTTGTATTCATTGTGGCTTTTCAAGAGCATAGAATGAAGAACTCGTTGCCATGTAGGTTTTGTGCTATACAGACATTGAGAAATATATAATGATGCCCTAGTGCATACTATAATGATGCCCCAATGCATAATAAGGACCGTGTTTCTGCCTTTTCCAGTTCTGGGCAAGGTGAGGGGATGCAGTGTGTGTTTGTGTACAACTGTGAAGTCCTGTTTCCCTTCAAGGCTTTGGCACATCTTGATCTGCATTCCTGGGCCACAAGAATGGTTTGACAGTCTGGCATCAGGTCCAAGAGCCCATTCAGGGGAGCCCACAAAGCCAGCAAGGCTTCTCTTTGTGCCCTGTGTTTCTTAGCTGAGTCCTTGTGAGGTTATTCCTGGACCCCCAGGGCTGGAGTTCTGGTGTGGGGCTCATCATGCTGGAGGAACAGAAGCTTGCTAACAGGACTTGATGGTAAAGCGGTTTCTTCTAACCATTGCACCCATCTGTTGCCGTACACTTTCACAGAGTTCTTGTTTGACCCTTTGGCAAATCAGCTTGGAAATCTGGCCTCTGACAGTCAGGTTCTCACCTGCCTGAAGCTAGCGTGAGAATTGCTCAGAGTGGCTGATTAAGCAAGGACCCATGTGCTAATGAGCTACTTGGTTTTAGAGTCCTCCAGAGTAAGAAAGGACACTACGAAGCTGCAGGTACCCCCAGCCATCCATGATGCCTCTGGGCTCCTCGACACCACAGCCCTACCCCGCGGTGGGTGGGTCCCCCTGCTCGAGCTTGGGCTCAACATTAGCTGTGGAACAAGGTGGTTGAGAGGACCCGCCTAGCCACAGGTTCTCCGGCACCTTCTTGGAGCGCAGCTGGAACTGAACCCTTGTAATCCCATGAGCCTTTAGACTGGGCTAACAGTTCTCCCACTTGCCCTTGTCCTTCTTTTCCCTCGGAGGGAACATAACCGTGGCTATAAGCAAGAAGATGAGTAAGGCCTGGGCGAGGCACAGAGCTAGGAAGCCAGGCCCCAGGAAGGTGAGCCTGACCCACTTCCACACGTACGAGAGGAAGAGGCTTAGTCCACTGGCCAGCAGCACGGAGGACGCCGTCAGGAAGCCCACTGCCAGCTGCCACTCTCCTTCATCACTGTTGCACTGGGCGAGGAGGAGAGGCAGAAGGACAAACATTGTGAGGACCAGGGCCCCGTACACACCAAGCCTGGCCAGGGCTAGGCCAACCCGAGGAACCCCCAGCGCCTCCAGCTCAGGGAAGTTGTAACACTGTAGGGAGCCGGTGTCCTCCTTCCACAGACAGAAGTTGTAGAAGCCCACTCTCAGGTTAGGCAGGTCCACGAGGTTGCCAGCCTTCCAGAGGAGAGCGTAGGCCATCAGGGATAGGACCACAGCCACGAGGATCATGATGCCCACAAAGGGCAGGCAGTTGCTCCGCCATGGCCTGGGGATAGCCATTTCTTCTGCGGTTGCAGGGGGACCTGGAAAAGGTTACACCATGAATCTCTAGCCCTTCCCTCAGGCCTTCGTGTTTAGAAGTTCCTGTTCTTTCTGCCCTCCCCAGACAGGAAGTCCCACTCTCAGATCCTCAGTGGACCTCTGGTTTGAGGTCTTTCCCAGGCAGCTGTGGAAGCCTGAAGCCCCCATGCCAAAGGCTTTACAGCAGCATAGATAGAAGCCATCTGAAGCTCTGTGAGGGGGTATCTCATCCTCATGGAGGTGGGTTTGGATGTGTGTGGGGTGAAGGGCAAGCCTCTCTGTTAGGTGGCAGAGATCCATCTGGATCTCCGTGAGTTCAAGGCCACACTGGAAACAGAGCCAGGCAGTGGTGGCACACATCTTTAATCCCAGGACTTGAGATCTCATGCCTTTGCTTGGGAAGGACACACGCCTTTAATCCCAGGAAGAAATGGCAGGAAGCAGAAAGGTATATATGACGTGAGGACCAGGAACTAGAGGCTTTTGAACAGTTCAATTGAGACCCTCAGGGGTGAGGAATCAGAAGCTTTCAGTCTAAGGATTCGTGGAAACAGGAACTCATTCTCTTTGGCTGAGGATTTCTAGCAGTTAAGAATGTGGCTGGCTTCTTTCTGCTTCTCTGATCTCTCAGTTTTCACCCCAATATCTGGCTCTGGGTTTTTTATTAATAAGACCATTTAGCAATTTCTATTACATGTCTGTCCACCCTCTCCCCATAACAACAGTAACCTATTAATTCTAGAAAATTCTGGAAATATGTTTTAAAGAAAAAATTAAAACAATCCTTTATCTTACCACCCCAGTAAAACCACTGTTCATATTCCACAAATATTTTCCCTATTGTGATTGTACTTTTTTTTTTTTTGGCTTTTCAAAACAGGGTTTCTCTGTGTAGTTTTGGCGCCTGTCCTGGATCTTGCTCTGTAGACCAGGCTGGCCTCGAACTCACAGGGATCCACCTGGCTCTGTGTTGGGATTAAAAGCGTGCACCACCACTGCCCAGCATGATTGTACTTTTAAAAAGCATATTGACTGTTAAACACAATGGTTGTTCATTGACTATTGTGACCATTTTTCATAGTTGTTGAAATAGTCTTCAAAATGTGATGAATGGTTACATAATTTCGATTCATCATCTGGGTGTGGTGGTGCACACCTTTAATCCCAGCACTTGGAGGCAGAGGCAGATGGATCTCTGAGTTTGAGGGCAGCCTGGTCTACAGATTGAGTTCCAGGACAGCCAGGGCTATATAGAAAAACCCTGTCTCCAAAAAGAAAAAGCAAGCAAGCAACCAACCAACCAAAGACCTAAAACAGACAAACAACACCCCCCTCCTAAAAAAACAAACATATTCATCCCATAGGGCTGTTTGTTTCACTGTCTGGGTGATCTTAATGCATATTGCTAGACAGACCTACAGAAAACTTGCTAATACCATTTAGACGTATATAAAAGTGCCTATTTTGCCAGGTGGTGGTGGTGGTGGTGGTGGTGGTGGTGGTGGTGCACTCCTTTAATCCCAGCACTCAGAAAGCAGAGGCAGAGGCAAGCTGATCTCTGTGAGTTCCAGGCCAGCGTGGTCAGAGTGAGTTCTAGGACAACCAACCAAGTCTACACAGAGAAACAATGTCTTTAAAAACTTAAAAAAAAAAAGTGCCTATTTTCACTACTCTTTTATTCAAAAGGGACTTTCAAATTATTTCTAAAATAGTAGTCTGCACACTGTGCCTTTCTGTATGTACAGTTTCCACTCAGGAATAAAACAAATATTTATACCAGGAATGACTAGGAATACAGAGCTGGGAACCTTGTGAGACACAAACACAAGACCCAGACACCAAGTCCTGTGGGCCTAATCCAGGGAGCTAGGTGCAACCTAGCATTGGTAGCTCTGGGGAAGGACCCAGAGACCCTGTGGCTCACCTTCCTAGGGGACTCCTTTGGGGACCAGCTCCTCTAACACAGTGTAGTGGAATCTCTGTGTACCACATTTGTTTTACAAGAACAGAGAGGAATTAAAAGAGGAAGAATACTTGCCAGCCTTAAAAGTGTATGTGTGTGTGTGGGTGGGTGGGTGGGTGGGTGGGGGGTGTTTCCAAAGGCTTCAAATATATGACACCATAGAGATTCATTGGTGGGTTTTAGCAGCTCCCAGGCAGTCGACATGTGCCTGTTAGGACATTGACTTGGGAATCCACACTGCCTTTTCCCAGCATCTGGCTGTCTGAGTAGCCTGTCCAGTTCCTGGTTCTCATGGTGGCCTCCCCTGCAGAGGAGCCCAAGAGTGACCATCTTAGAAGCAGTCTTGGCTGCTGTTCCTTGGGCTTTTGTCAGAGGCCCTGCAGGCTGTGGCCAAGGATGCCCTGTTTGAATGTACTAGAAATTCTTGAAGCACTGATGCTGGCTATAGAAAGATTTGTCAAGACTGTAAAAAGGCAGCTTTAGTCCCTATGTCACTGGGTTGGAAGGATGAAATACTTACTCCATGTAGCCATGGTGTGAGGAAATTCCCAACATATTTTAAATGGTTTTACCCATTTAGCAAATTTTTGCAAGGTTTGTGTGCTTTTCGAGGGGTATTTCAGGATGTGGGGTGGATTTCTGGGTGTGGGACCCCTGTTTATCCAGTGATGCCATAGGAAATAAGGCTTGCCCAGCCTGCAGTATCCAGAAACAACCAGGATGGGAACTAGGAGACTCCTGTTTGAATTGTGCGTATTTAGGTTCAAATACTACCCTTGAAGCTCTGTCAGACATCAAACTTGGCTTCTCAGTGGAGGCTATGGTTACCTCAGCACAGCGCCTGCCAGGTACCAGGAGCCTTTGTTTGTGGCTTCATCTTCTCCAACTGACCTTTTGGAGGTTTTGGTAGGTTACTGTTTTGTTTTGCCCTGTTCTGAAATGAGTCTCTCTATGTAGCCCAAGTTGGCCTCAAACCCTATGATCTGCCCGCCCCAGCTTCTGAAATGCTGTGATTATGGGAATGTACCACCACACCCGACATTCCAAAGGCCTGTAATGGAGAGTGGAACAAGAGAAAACTGGAGGGAAGGAGCACAGGCCAGGCATGTGGAGAAGGCCTGTCCTGACTTTCCTCTGCTCTGCCCTCAAAGGCAGAGGTCAGTCCTAGCTCCTGTGCCTGCACTTGAGGCTCTCTACTATTGGTATGTCTTAGAACGTGCATTTTACTGGGGCTCAGGCCCCTTTGTCCTCTGCACTTGCTTTTTTGTGGTCAAGCTTCTCTGCTTAGGCTGTGCCTATTTCCTCCAGCCCACACTCTGCCAGTCTCCAACCTCTTTGGATGGGCCAGAAGTTGAGATGTATACTAGAATCGGTGTTCCTGAGGAAAAGTGTCATCTCTTTTATCTTGCTAGGCTGGTAGGATTTTTTTTGAATGAATGAATGAATGAATGAAAATGCCCTCTGGTATCCTTAGGTGTACATCATGTGTTATGGCCACATCTCAGCAAGATGGCAGAGCATCCTCAGGGGCCCTGTGTATGGA